AACATACTTATTATTATTTGCCTTCCACTGGAACCAGTAGCGCCAAAACCGTAGAAACTACTAACACCATGTCGTGCCTTTCATTATTGTGATGACTATTATTTATCGAATAATTACCTACTATGTTTCATTGTTACTAGATTAAAGTAATCATGTAACAATTAACTCATTAGGAATTTGGGGCACCACGGGAAAAGTTGTTTAATGAGTTACCGTTTCCCGAATTAACTCTAAAGATATCGCTTATAATTTAACAGTCATTTATTAATCATTTACCTCATATCAGTCTCATTCTGAAAGTCATAGGCTTTCAGTCTGCACGAACCCGGGACTTACTGATCATTCCGTACCCCACAAATTGATTAAATTATTTATTTACTAACTAATAAAAATTATAACACAAGATACAAACACATACACAGGGATTAGGGATTAGAAACGTAATACAATGAAAACGGGTCCCTAGCGCAATATGACACTTGTTACAAAATATGGCGAGTTAAAGAGAGAGCGAGAGAAACACTTGGATACACATGGGCCTAAACTCATAGTAATCCTAATACTTTGCCAGAACTGCCCCCTGTTTGGTAAGAAGTAATGCATGTATTTACGTGTTTGTCTTTGTCGTCTCTGTTGGACACTAGCCTTTGCCGTCTGAAGTTTGCCAATGACCATCTGGATGATCCAGAGGAGGAATGGGAGAAGGTCATGTGGTCTGATGAGACAAAAATATAGCTTTTTGGTCTAAACTCCACTCGCCGTATTTGGAGGAAGAAGAAGGATGAGTACAACCCCAAGAACACCATCCCAACCGTGCAGTATGGAGGTGGAAACATCATTCTTTGGGGATGCTTTTCTGCAAAGGGGACAGGACGACTGCACCGTATTGAGGGAAGGATGGATGGGGCCATGTATCGCGAGATCTTGGCCAACAACCTCCTTCCCTCAGTAAGAGCATTGAAGATGGGTCGTGGCTGGGTCTTCCAGCATGACAACGACCCGAAACACACAGCCAGGGCAACTAAGGAGTGGTTCCGTAAGAAGCATCTCAAGGTCCTGGAGTGGCCTAGCCAGTCTCCAGACCTGAACCCAATAGAAAATCTTTGGAGGGAGCTGAAAGTCCGTATTACCCAGCGACAGGTCTGTATGGAGGAGTGGGCCAAAATCCCTGCTGCAGTGTGTGCAAACCTGGTCAAGACCTACAGGAAACGTATGATCTCTGTAATTGCAAACAAAGGTTTCTGTACCAAATATTAAGTTCTGCTTTTCTGATGTATCAAATACTTAAGTCATGCAATAAAATGCAAATTAATTACTTAAAAATTATACAATGTGATTTTCTGGATATTTGTTTTAGATTCCGTCTCTTACAGTTGAAGTGTAACTATGATAAAAAATTACAGACCTCTACATGCTTTGTAAGTAGGAAAACCTGCAAAATCGGCAGTGTATCAAATACTTGTTCTCCCCACTGTGTATGTATGTATGTATATATATATATATATATATATATATATATATATATATATATATATATATATATATATATGCCAAAGGTATGTGGACACCTGAACATCTCATTCCAAAATCTAATATGTTGGGCGCTGATGTTGGGCGATTAGGCCTGGCTCGCAGTCAATGTTCTAATTCATCCCAAAGGTGTTCGATGGGGTTGAGGTCAGGGCTCTGTGCAGGCCAGTCAAGTTGTTCCACACCGATCTCGACAAACCATTTCTGTATGGACCTCGCTTTGTGCACGGGTGCATTGTCATGCTGAAACAGGAAAGGGCCTTCCCCAAACTGTTGCCACAACGTTGGAAGCACAGAATCGTCTAGAATGTCAGTGTATGCTGTAGTGTTAAGATGTCCCTTCACTGGAACTAAGGGGCCTAGCCCAAACCATGAAAAACAGCCCCAGACCATTATTCCTCCTGCACCCAACTTTACAGTTGGCACTATGCATTGGGGCAGGTACCGCTCTCCTGGCATCCGCCAAACCCAGATTTATCCATCGGACTGCCAGATGGTGATGCGTGATTCATCACTCCAGAGAACGCATTTCCACTGCTCCAGAGTCCAATGGTGGTGAGCTTTATACCACTCCAGCCGATGCTTGGCATTGCGCATTGTTATCTTAGGCTTGTGTGCGGCTGCTCGTCCATGGAAACCCATTTCATGAAGCTGCCGAAGAACAGATCTTGTGCTGACATTGCTTCCAGAGGCAGTTTGAGTGTTGAGTGTTGGAATCGAGGACAGACGATTTTTACGCGCTACGCGCTTCAGCACTTGGCGGTCCCGTTCTGTGAGCTTGTTTGGCCTACCACTTCATGGCTGAGCTGTTGTTGCACCTAGACGTTTCAGCTTCACAATAACAGCACTTAAAGTTGACCAGGGGAGCTCTAGCAGGGCAGAAATTTGACGAAATGACTTGTTGGAAAGGTGGTGCAACGTTGAAAGTCACTGAGCTCTTCAAGTAAGGCCTTTCTACTGCCAATGCTGGTCTATGGAGATTGCATGGCTGTGTGCCCGATGTTATACACCTGTCAGCAACATGTGTGGCTGTAATAGCCGAATCCACAAATTTGAAGGGGTGTCCACATACTTTTGTATATATAGTGTACCTACCTACTATGGCTGTTTCGTTGACCGTAATACCGCCACACCGGCAGTCATGAGACATGACAGCAGTAAAATTCAGCGTGACTGTTGACTGTTGAGTCATGGTAATCTCCTCTTATGCACTCTGGACATGGATTAGTAGTTCCCAACTCGCTAACGATCATCAGGTCACTAATGGCCTGGTACTCAGGGTCTATTGTCCCTCTAACCACTCTGACATCAATGCAAATGCAATCGAAAATCACATCAAACAATCACAGTGATTGAAAAAATATCATGACCGCCACAGCCCTACTACCCATCTATACCTACCTGCCTACCTGCCTGCCTGCCTGCCTGCCTGCCCAACCAACCAACCAACCAACCATCTACCTACCTACATAAGTTGTTAAATGTTTGAATCAGGTGTGCCAAAGTTGGTCTGGGAAGTGGGAACAAAAGTATTTTAGTATTGAATATTTTATCATGATCCACATTAGCTAGTACTAAAGCAGCAGCTACTCTACCTGGGGTCCACACAACACATAAAACATAACATAATACAGAACATTAATAGACAAGTACATCACAAGGACAGAACTACATACATTTAAAATAAGTAGACAAGCTTTCATACATTTATGACTTCATAATCATGTGACTGTGGTTCTGTCCTATTGTTTACTTGTTTACGTTGTATAGGACAATGAGTTGAATTCAGAAGTATAGATATGTCTACTTATCCTCCTGTGTCCGCAGATATCGAATGGAGACTGGGGCAAGACTGTGATTGAGTACAGGACTCAGACGCCAGCCAGACTACCTATCGTAGACTTGGCCCCCATGGACATAGGCAAGGAGGATCAGGAATTTGGCCTGGACATCGGACCTGTGTGTTTCTCCTAAACCCAACACACATGGATGGATTGATTTCTTTAACCCTTTGAGGAGTGCATTTTTTAGAACGCCATCCTCAGTTCTCAGTTTAAAGAGGCAATCTGGATTTCAAACATTCTTCAAGAATCAATGGCTATATATCATTCATTTAAAATATTGCCCCTTTAAGAATTAGGTTTCAGTTCAATAACTAATAATGATTAGACCCACCTGTTGTATAATGAACAACAACCCCTTGTGATGTCATCAATTAGAATCGGTTAGAATGTTGTCGTCCATTCTCCTCCAAAGGGTTAATTATTCCCAAGACTCTTGGACTACCTGCTGAAGCAATCAGCGTTGTACATAAAGGCCGGGCGGAGAAACATGTCCTGCCTGCTACTAAATTATTTATTTAATTTTTCCAAGATACAACTAAAGTTGTTAGTGCAATGGTACTGGTAGCAATTATTATTGAGGAATGCAGGTGAATTGTATTAGAAGGTAATTGTGAAATAATGGAGTTTCAGGTCCTGAAGGTTTAAGCTTGTTGAAAACGTGACAATTTATGGAACTTAAGTTATGAGTGTCAGTGTTGTATGACGTTCCATCATACAGTTTCTCAGTGAATGCCACTAAATAGATATACTTTCACTTGATGTTGAGACAAAACAACAACAATTGTATTCCTTTTTCAAATGTAAATGAAACATAAGAATGTAAATTGCCCTTCACACGTTTATTATTCCTGTTTATTGTTGATATTTTCTTCTTTCGACTGATGGTGTTACACCCAATAAAATGAATCTCATGCCCTTTTCAGTCAATCTGGTTTAAGCTTCAGGTCAGGATGAATAAAACAAATACCTTCCTATTCAATAACAGCGTTTGAATTATGCAGGGGCACAACTTTGGTTTTAGAAGTGGGGGGACATCATTTTATTTTTTTGCAATTTCAGAATGTGGGAGAGACATGTCCCCCCCTTCCCCAGTGAAAGTTGCGCCCCTGGAATTACGAGTTGGGGATATTTACATTTACATTTACGTCATTTCACCAATAATCCCAGAAGGAAAAATGTACAAGAGCAGACAGACTATTTATGTTTGATTTTTTTATTAAAATACTGTCTAATTTGTAATTAAAGAAGGATATAATGACAGTTTACATAGAAATCCTGGTCGGTCAACTTTCACAAAGCCTATATTTTTTGGAGAGATATAGATGCTCTTCCTTGATTAACATCCATACAGTTGAACTCTAATATATTGGCACACTTGCACGATTCACTATTTCTTCAAAATAATTTGTTGAAAGTTAAAGAACGTTGGTGTTCACGCATGTATTTGTTTGATTTATAACTGCACAGGACCAAGAAAATAATTATAAACTGAAATTTAGATTTTTCACTTCAACGTTAAGAAAAATGGACTGGACTAAAGGTGGTAAATTGCAGGTGGCTACAGGGTCAAAATAGCCATTCAACCAGTTTTGAAAATTGAAAACAGAATATTCTGCTCTATTGCACTCCATTGTAAAGTGCAAGGGTGCCGATATATATTAGAGCGCAACAGTAGATGAACATGGCACTGAGTTTATTTGCCATGCGTAATAAATCTTACAAGAGCTCTTATATTAAAGTCAACATTAAAAACTGTAAGAAAGTTTAGAACAAGCAGTAACAATTATAGGCATAATTAATTAAGTCAAATTCCCCCAGGAAACGACCACACATCCAAAGAAAAATAAAAGTTCAGGGTTGAGTGGAACAACATAGACTGAAGATCAGAAGCAGGTAACAGTACACTGTTTCTCTCATCTCTATCAAATGCAAAATGTAGAAAAACTTTTAACCAACTAAAGTCTCCCACTCCCAAGGAGATGTCTGTATTCCTAATTTCTGTAAAACTTCATCAACAGTGGGCACAAGATCATCTCCAAATTCCCAGAGGCTTCTGTCGAGGACCAGCTGCTCATTGGTCCAGCTCTCTCTCTGAGCCTTTTTCACCTGCATGATCTTACACACGTCGGACGGAACCCTCACAGTGTCCCCATAGTTCTGTGTCACCTCAAACATGGCCGTCTGCAGCACCAAACGGGGGTTGACCACCATCTTGTAGGAGCGGAAGGCGTCTTCAAGAACAGGCTCTCTATAGATGTAGTCCAGCAGATCCACCCCCGGCGCCCTCCTCTGTGCGGAATGGTCTGGCGTAGCGGTACCGGCTGTGGCAGGGAAGAGGTGCGTCTCCATCAGGAACACGGCTGCGTCGGGGTGCTGCCCCTGCAGGTCCTCCATGAGGGGCAGCAGAGAGCTGTGTGAGACCGGGACCAGGAGCTGATCAACGTCAGCCAGGAGGACGTACCGCGACCTGTACATGTTCCTGTAGATGCACTCGTTCATGATAGTCAGCTGGCCGTTTAGGTGGATATCCCCTTCCAGCTCCTGGGCCTCCCACCCAGTAGAGGGCTTGAGGAAGTGGTTGATGGGCCAGCCGATCACCTCCAGAGTGCCCTCCTCTGCGTAGTGCTTGAGGACCTTCTCCAGGTCAGGCCCACAGCTGGTGAGGTAGAGGACAACCCTCCGCACCCCCAGGAGCTTGTAAAACTCCATGGTCTGGACAAACTGTTGGACGTTGTTGTAGTCTCCAAACATGCTGGACATACACACGGTGAGGTAAAAGGGGAAGTCCTCCTCCCGTCTCTTCCGGTTTTGGATGCTCAGAAACGGCCGGTTGAGGGCGTCCTGGCTGTAGAGAGATGTGCTGAGAGTGACGTGCGTGGCGTTGCATCCTAGTCCTTCACGGCAAAGAATGTCTGCAGCCACATACGGGTATCCATAGTGGACGCTGTGTGTTACGACAGCAGCTGGAACGACCTGGGGGGCGTGTCCAGAGCAGCACAACACACAGTACAGAGACATGGGTCGGTCTCTGTTGACCATGGCAACGATGCGCGTGGCTCCCCCTTTCCTGTGGTCCTGGTATGCAGACACCATTAGATGCATTGAACCCTTGACTGGTGTTACAGTCTCATTGGCTGTGTGAAGAGGGCAGGTAGAGAGATCAGGGGGAGGAAGGCAGCGTACTTCAGTAGAGTTGGATCTGAAAGTTACCAATGGGTAAGACAGTGTGACAGACAGACACAGGATGATCAAACCGACTTTCCATATCTGACTCCTGGTTTGGTGCACGTCAGCCATCTGATCTGTTGGAGACCTATCGGAGGATCATGTCACAATCAACAATCATGATGATAACACAACGATAGTAACAACAACAACCGTCATCATCATCACAAACATCCTCACTATCCCTGTCATAATCAAAACATACACAGGAGTATTATCAGTGATGCACTGAACAATCAGACAGAGAAAATCAAGTCAAACTAGCTTTCAATCAGCTTAAACCATCTGGTCCACCCCAAACATATCTCCTGATATCTCCATACATACCTGCCGGCTGTGGGATCCTCCACCTCCTGGTCTGCTCTGTCAGTCTGTGGGGCTGTGGGGGAGTCTCTCATCTCTCTGTTGACAGGAGTTTCAGTGGGACAGTCAGGAGTTTCAGGGGGGCAGTCAGGCGTTTCAGGGGGGCAGTCAGGAGTTTCAGGGGGGCAGTCAGGAGTTTCAGGGGGGCAGTCAGGAGTTTCAGGGGGGCAGTCAGGCGTTTCAGGCTCTGGTCCAGATGACCCTGCTGCTCTTCTTCTCAACATCTTCAGGAAAATGAAGGGGGGCTCTGATGGCCAAACTACATGTCAGTGTTGATGTGGATGTGGTTGAGGAGTCAGACGCAGGACGCATGGGCTCAGTCAAACAAGACTTTACTGAACTGTATAAACAAAACAAAATAACGGACCTCAAACAAGGAGGCGAGCGACAACGCAAACACAGTGCGTCACAATAAACAAAGTCCAGAGTACTGCACGGGTGACACCAACGGACAGGCGGAAAATAACACACAAACTCACAAACACAAAGCCGGAAACTTATAGGACACATAATCAGACACAAACGGACACAGGTGCAACAGACAGACCAAACCAATCAAACATCGAAATATCTAACGGTGGTAGCTAGTACTCCGGGGACGACGAACGCCAAAGCCTGCCCGAGCAAGGAGGAGGAGCAGCCTCGGCAGAATCCGTGACACTACATTAACACTAGAAGCGCTGGGCCTCAAGGTCCCCCCTTTCAGATAATGAGCAGTCATTCTGACAGCAACATTCCAACGGTGTAATTAATACATTTCATATACAGTATGCTATAGCAAAAAATAATCATTTGGTTGTGTTCATGAAGGCCTTGGGTAACAACATTAGCATACCATTTTTATTTTATTTCAATTAACACGATAGCATTTTAATTAGTTTATGTTACTGTAGGTTATATGTACAAACTAAAAAACACAAACATTAAATGTTACAATGTTCAATCAATTTTATTTGTGGAGTGACTTTGTTAAAACTATGAAATAGAAAGCATATGTGTTGGAACATTGTAACAGGTTATTTTTATAAAGACAAAATAAAAGTAAAATACCCCAACCACCCAGAGCAGTCAAGACGCGCGGTCAAATGATGACATCAATAGCCTAAACATAATAATATGCCATTTAGCAGATGCTTTTATCCAAAGCGACTTAGTCATGCGTGCATAATTTTTTTTTTTTTGTGTATGGGTGGTCGCGGGGATCGAACCCACTACCTTAGTGTTACAAGCACCGTGCTCTAACAGCTGAGCTACAGAGGACCACATCTTTAGAAGGGCCAAGTGGCCTTGATAAATAGTGAAACTCAATAATGATATTATAATGAATATAAGTGTCGATATGACAGCAGTCAAAAATAGTCCATTATTGTCAGCTTGTGCTTCTGTGCGTCTTGAGGTAACCATGTCGTCCAAAAAATTATACTTTTGAATCATCTGTCCATAGAACGTTCTTCCAAGAGTCTTGATGATCATCCAGGTGCTTTTTGGCAAACTTGAGTCAACTTTTTGGACGAGATGGGTCCCATTATGCCTGGCGAAAACCAAACTCTGCATTCCACAGTAAGAACATCATACATTACATTTAAGTCATTTAGCAGACGCTCTTATCCAGAGCGACTTACAGTTAGTGAATACATATTTTTTTTATACTGGCTCCCCGTGGGAATCGAACACACAACCCTGGCGTTGCAAACGCCATGCTCTATCAACTGAGCTACATCCCAAAGGTCAAGCATGGTGGTGGTGGTGTGATGGTTTGGGGATGCTTTTCTGCCTCAGGACCTGGACGACTTGCCTTAATAGAAGGAACCATGAATTCTGCTCTGTATCAGAGAATTCTACAGGAGAATGTCAGACCATCCATCTGTGAGCTGAAGCTGAAGCGCAGCTGGGTCATGCAGCAAGACAATGATCCAAAACACACAATCAAGTCTACATGAAAATTGCTAAAAAGCAACAAATTGGAAGTTTTGGAATGGCCTAGTCAAAGTCCAAACCTAATCCCAATTGAGATGTTGTGGCAGGACTTGAAACGAGCAGTTCATGCTTGAAAACCCATACGTCACTGAGTTAAAGCAGTTCTGCATGGAAGAGTGGGCCAAAATTCCTCCACAGCAACGTGAGAGACTGATCAACAACTACAGGAAGCATTTGGTTGGAGTCATTGCAGCTAAAGATGGCACAACCAGTTATTGAGTGTAAGGGGGCAATTACTTTTTCACACAGGGGAATTGGGTGTTGCATAACTTTGTTTATGAAATAAATATGTAATTGTTGTGTTATTTGTTCACTTATGTTCCCTTGATCTAATATTAGGTTTTGGTTGAAGATCTGATAACATTCAGTATCACAAATATGCAAAAGTAGAGAAAATTAGAAAGGGGGCAAATACTTTTTCATAGCACTGTACAATTATGCATGCTGATAAGACTGCTTTGATTCGGTGGACTGATATAGGGTTTTTGTTTTTGTTTTGTTTTGTTTTTACGTACTGGTAACAAGAGTCGTTCAAGGGAATTCGGGACATGGGTGACTAGTTAACGTTAGCTTGGCTCTCTCTGTGTGTTTCGTGTTGTAACCGAGTATTGATGCTAAACCGTGTTATTGGAGGCTGGCATGCTAGTTGGCTATGGCATCATAGGATTCGGTGCCCTGGACGGTTTTCACGGAAGAATGCTGTACCAAGTTAGCTAGCTGAATAAACCTAGTTAGAGGCCATTCCTAGAAAACATTAAACCGCTGTAGTTTACAACAATTATAATTTCTAAAGTGGAAGTTGGGAGTTATATTTGAGTGTTTCAGTGAAACGTAAGTGAGGGAGGCCCCGCTCTCTTGCTTTCCCAGATTTTTTGTTCATTTCATTCCGATCTCCTTTGCATTATTGTGGCCTTTTTCTATAGACTGACAACTATGTGTCTGTCTATCCCTGTTCTCTCCTCTCTGCACAGGCCATACAAACGCTTCACACCGCGTGACTGCTGCCACTCTAATCTGGCAGTCCCTGCGCGCACGACCCACGTGGAGTTCCAGGTCTCCGGCAGCCTCTGGAACTGCCGTTCTGCGGTCAACAAGGCAGAGTTCATCTCAGCCTTTGTTACCCTCCAGTCCCTCGACTTCTAGGCACTGAAGGAAACATGGATTACCACAGAAAACATTGCTACTCCTACTGCTCTTTCCTCGTCTGACCATGTGTTCTCGCATACCCCGAGAGCATATGGTCAGCGCGGCGGTAGCACAGGAATCCTCATCTCTCCCAAGTGGACATTATCTCTTTTTCCCCTGACCCATCTGTCTATCTCCTCATTTGAATTCCATGCTGTCACAGTCACTAGCCCATTCAAGCTTAACATCCTTGTCATTTATCGCCCTCCAGGTTCCCTTGGAGAGTTCATCAATGAGCTTGACACCTTGATAAGTTCCTTTCCTGAGGATGGCTCACCCCTCACAGTTCTGGATGACTTTAACCTCCCTGTGTCTGCCTTTGACTCATTTCTCTCTGCCTCCTTCTTTCCACTCCTTTCCTCTTTTGACCTCACCCTCTCATCGTCCCCCCCTACTAACAAGGCAGGCAATACGCTTGACCTCATCTTTACTAGATGCTGTTCTTCTACTAATCTCACTGCAACTCCCCTCCAAGTCTCCGACCACTACTTTGTATCCTTTTCTCTCTCGCTCTCCTCCAACACTACTCACTCTGCCCCTACTCCGATGGTAATGTGCCGTCGCAACCTTCGCTCTCTCTCACCCGCTACTCTCTCCTCTTCCATCCTATCATCTCTTCCCTCTGCTAAATCCTTCTCCCTCCGATCTCCTGATTCTGCCTCCTCAACCCTCCTCTCCTCCCTTTCTGCATCTTTTGACTCTCTATGTCCCCTATCTTCCCGTCCGGCTCGGTCCTCCCCTTCTGCTCCGTGGCTTGACGACTCATTGCGAGCTCACAGAAGAGGGCTCCGGGCAGCCGAGCGGAAATGGAGGAAAACTAGACTCCCTGCGGACCTGTCATCTTTTCACTCCCTCCTCTCTACATTCTCTTCCTCTGTTTCCGCTGCTAAAGCCACTTTCTACCACTCTAAATTCTAAGCCTCTGCCTCTAACCCTAGGAAGCGCTTTGCCACCTTATCCTCCCTGCTGAATCCCCTTCCTCCTCTCCCTCCGTCATCCCTCTCTGTGGATGACTTCGTCAACCATTTTGAAAAGAAGGTTGACGACATCCGATCCTCATTTATTAAGTCAAATGACCACGCTGGTCCTGCTCACACTGCCCTACCCTATGCTTTGACTTCTTTCTCCCCTCTTTCTCCAGCTGAAATCTTGCGACTTGTGACGGCCGGCCGCCCAACAACCTGCCCGCTTGACCCTATCCCCTCCTCTCTTCTCCAGACCATTTCCGGAGACCTTCTCCCTTACCTCACATCGCTCATCAACTCATCCTTGACCACTGACCATATCCCTTCCGTCTTCAAGAGAGCGAGAGTTGCACTCTCCTCAAAAAACCTACACTCGATCCCTCTGATGTCAACAACTACAGACCAGTATCCCTTCTTTCTTTTCTCTCCAAAACTCTTGAGTGTGCCGTCTCTAGCCAACTCTCCTGCTATCTCTCTCAGAATGACCTTCTTGATCCAAACCAGTCAGGTTTCAAGAATGATCATTCAACTGAGACAGCTCTTCTCTGTGTCACGGAGGCTCTCCGCACTGCTAAAGCTAACTCTCTCTCCTCTGCTCTTATCCTTCTAGACCTATCCGCTGCCTTTGATACTGTGAACCATCAGATCCTCCTCTCCACCCTCTCCGAGTTGGACATCTCCGGCGCTGCTCACTCTTGGATTGCGTCCTACCTGACAGGTCGCTCCTACCAGGTTGCGTGGCGAGAATCTGTCTCCGCACCACGTGCTCTCACCACTGGTGTCCCCCAGGGCTCAGTTCTAGGCCCTCTCCTATTCTCTCTATACACCAAGTCACTTGGCTCTGTCATATCCTCACATGGTCTCTCCTATCATTGCTACGCAGATGACACACAATTAATTTTCTCCTTTCCCCCTTCTGATAACCAGGTGTCGAATCGCATCTCTGCATGTCTGGCAGACATATCAGTGTGGATGTCGGATCACCACCTCAAGCTGAACCTCGGCAAGACGGAGCTGCTCTTCCTCCCGGGGAAGGACTGCCCGCTCCATGATCTCGC